GGCATATGAAATTCTTGACGTATGTAGATTTTTTTCAATATATTCCTTGAGTTCAGCAAACTCATTTTGAGATAAATTGTAGATTGATCCAAATAGCGGTTATGCTCCTTCTTAAAGGTGAATTGAGGAGTCATAAGAACGATGTTTCGGAAGAGTATCTGCATTCTTCTTGTCAAATATATCTTAAAAATCTTGATATTGGCTTAGAATGCCACTTGAAGTCTTTCTACCAATAGAAATAAGTGTGGCATAAATGACACAAGGTGATCCTTCTTTTGTAGCATACAAGAAAGCTCTTGCACCTACAAATATAGGTTTAATTATACTAGACTTATGACTTTTTACTTGACTAATTATGCTCTTAGTTATACTTTCAAAAAATTCAAGACTACGAGAAGTCCAATCTATTTTAGGATTATATTTTTCTAGCTACAATAAATCTAAAATGACTAGATTACAAAGAGATCTAATGATATTAAATATTACAAAGCTACTATGATCATTAATTGCTATTTTTATAGGAAGGATTTCATGAGTAACATCTCTTGAAGACAATGAACAACCATCTATGACTTCTACATGAACAGGTTTAGTTTTCTTCACTAAAAATATACTATATCTTTTAGCAAATTCTTCATCTAAGAAATATGCTGAGGCTCCTAAATCTAGCAAGGCAAAGGCTTTGTGATGTTTAGGTCCTAGAATAATATTTATCGTAAAATATGGAGAGGGTGATAAAGAGAGGATAGGAACTTCACTAGGCATTATACAAGGTTTCAGTCGCATGGTCCCTATTGTAGTTGGAAAAATTCGTTTTTCAACATGCTATCTTTTTTAATCGTCGTATTCCTCATTTTATGGTTGTGTCACTTCTTTGGACAATGTTGAGTAATGTGCTTAGGTTTTCTACAATATAAGCTCAATCCTTCCTGATGACGACGAGTCTTTTCTTGTTCAGTAAGAGGTTTGAAACGTACTGCATCAATTTACATATCTTCTACTTCTGAATGTATGTATTGAAGAGATGTTGAAGTTGCCATTGAATTATAGTAACGTTGAGGTCTACTTGTACGGTTTTTAGATCAAAATTCAAAAAGATGATTGTTGCACTTCACAGCAAAGTCAATTGCTTGACTCAATGTTTGAGGATCAGGTAAGTTGAGCATTAATTTTTTTTACCTCAAATTGTAATCCGTAGAGAAATTAGCTAATAAGTGCAACATTATCCCACTTGATATCAGTTACAAGTTGTCAAAATTGTGAAACATAGAACGTTACTAATCGATTGCCTTGTTGCAAAATATAGATCTTATTGATTGCAACACGAATTGTATCATGTTCTCCATACATGGATCAAAATTCTGCCAAAAAAGCCTTCAGATTATCCAATATTGGATCTCATCGTTCAAGAAAAGATGAAAACCATGATAATGCTGAACCTGAAAGAAGTGTATCAATGAATCAAACTTGCGATCCTGGAGTTGGATAGCTTTGGGGTTGAAGTTCAATCAGAAGTTGTACTTGATTGATAAATCCTCTAAACTTTGATCTGGTGCCATCAAACTTCTCGGGTAGGATAATTCTTAGTTTTCTAACACTGGAAGGGCATTCCACCATAGGAGAAGGGACATGATTTGGTGCAGATGTTGAAGCAGCTCCAATCATTTCTATATCTTCACTTTTTGCCAATCTTGTTGCTCCTTATGGTGGTAAATTGAGTTGATGCATCACAAGCATTAACTCCCTCAATTTCTCTTATATTTGTGCTATTGTACTCTTCATTTCAGCAAGTTCTACCATCATAACACTTAGAAAAGAAAAGATGTCTAATATCACTCAAGATGAATAGAAGAGAGGATTTGAAAACAAAGAAAATACTAAAGACAATATCAGTTTAGAAGAGGGTAATCCGCAACTTTTAGTGTGCTTATGTCTTATCAAGAGAAAGGGATAATCCACTCTTAATCAAGATTAGACAAAGTTCTGATATTATAATTGTATTCTTGTCAATCTGTTAAGGACAAGAACATGATAAAAACAAATAAAAAAGTGAGGCTTCTCTCAAAAAAAGATGAAAAAATAAAAATAATTTGATATGTATATTAGGAAAGAAACTAGAATGGCTATTGCCAAAAGCCAAGAAAACTAGATACCGTTGAAATTAGACTAGAAGCAAGAAAGGAGTTGATAAGAGTGAAGAAGGCTTTACTCTTATTTCTATATATACTATCTAACTAGGGACTACGTTGTCATACTGTAAAAGCTTATAGTATATATAAATTAGTTAAAATATATTATATGTTAATAAATCTAGATGTATGTTAGAATGGTTAATAGATTAATTTAAAGAGAGAGGATTTAAGATACTTTATTTTGAGTTTTTTTTTTTTTTTGATTATAGCATTTAAAACAATTGTATGACCTAAATGTTTAGTATAAAGCCTTGAGAGGAGATTAGAGCCTAAAGAAGAAAATTTTAACTAATAGGAGGCTTATTGGGAGGGATGAAAGCAAGACATGGTTGGATGAAGGCAAGGAATGGGAAACTTCATTCCTATTGGTCGAAGGCCATGTCCAATGGGCTTCAAGGAGGCTGCCCAAGGCCTTATTAGGCATTAGGGTTTCTCTTTCGAAGGCATTCGAGCTTTGGAGGCTAGGATCAGCAAGTTTAGGATTTTGGATATAATTTGGGCAAAGAGTTTGTGTGATTTCAAATTTTTATGAAAGAGATATAGGTGTTCAAAGTTAAGGTGTTAATTTAAGACATATTGTTACTTTTTTGAGGATACGAGGAGTTGTATGGTAGCTTTTGAAGATCGGAAGATGTGGCTGGAACGAAGATTTTAAGGCCTACATCTTTTATGAAAGTATTATTGCTTTTGGAGTTTATGTGAAGGAGTTATAAGGAGTTGAAAGCGCCACATCCAAATCAAAGGCAGTAAGTGAGCGGTTTTGTTTATAGTAATGGTTGGAGCCATAATTTTAGTTTTTGGACAAATTTTTGGCTCAAACATTTGTAGAAAATATAAAATTTTGTGTTAAAAAGCTATACATACAAATTTTGTGGTATTTGAGCTTATATTTTGTGAGATATGAAGAAAATTGCACGTAGGTGTATAAAGACAAGGGTTTGAAGCGACTATTAGGGTTTTTTAGATATCTCAAGATCCGCAATGATTTTGCGGTTGAAATTTGTTGTAGAAGTCAAAAAAAATATATCAGTACCTTGTATAAAATTTGAGTTTATTTGGACGGTCGGATTAAGAGATATAAGGTGTTGAAGTTTAGGAAAAAATTTACATAAGGATATACAAGGTTTTAGAGGATTTTATCATATTTTGGGTGTTGTTGGTTACTTGAGGCTTGTGTATTTGGTGTAATTGCTCAAAAGAGAAAATTTATATATAAACTTAGGACTTCCCTTATTTTGAAGCTTGATTGAATGATTAGTGACAACTTGAAGCCTAGTATTTTTTTGAGGCATATTCTCTCTACCTCGACAATGTGGCGACGTTCTATAGGACCTCCAATATGTGTTGACTTTGTAGGACACATGCCTTGACTTACAAGGCAAGTTTTTCTATGTGTAAGCCACATAGTTAGCTTGGTCTTCAAGCTAACAACATATGTGGCACATGGCTAACTTGTCGACCACGTTTCTAATCCAAAAAGTCAATCAAAGACACCTATAAAGTCAAAGCATCGTCTATAAAGCTTCTAAAAAGCTTCCGTAGCAAATATTATAGAATTAACTTACTTTTACCTACTTTGACTTACTTCTACTTATTTATATATGTAATTACTGGCTTATATGCATATGTCCGTGACAAGTTGATTATACACCTATATTACAACAACAAGCTCATACTTTGACAAAATCTACTGATCCATCTTTTTATGTATATATAAGAGTAGTTTTAGGTATCAAATCTCTACAAATGATTACATTTTAGAATTGCTCTGTTATACCTTAAATCTTGTAGCTAAAACCTAATAGACATATGCTTATTGCAAATGAAAATCCTAAAAAATTAATTCTCTTTTCTTAGGTATTGAAGCTCTTAAAGACAAGTCCACTATATTCTTTTATTTGTTGCTCACAATCACCCTAAGTAATAAAAAAATCCAAGCAATAAGTTGTTTTGAACAACAAAGTATTTTTTAGCTTGCAACTTAATTGAACATCCAATAGAATCAAGCAATCTTAGCCTCATTAGCTTCTTTTCTTACCAATCTATCAATAACTCAAGTTGAGAAGGAACAAACTTAATAGAGACTCAGGATGCTTTAACATATACATTCAATAATGTAGGCAAATCAGATTATAGTACCTCAACATTGGCAGGCATAAACCCTAACTCTTGAGCATCATCACCAGATACAAAATTGATAGCTTTTTCACCATCCATATCATCATCAAAATAGAATTTTTTCAACAACTTACCAAGCCTTTTATTGGAGCTATGCAAGACCCAACATCAAGAATAGGAAAGCAAAGAAGCAAAGAATTAGATCTTAAACAAAAAAGTCTTTTATCACAAGCAAGTTAAAAAAAACCACTACAAATAGGAATTATTTAGACTTAATTGTAAAAACTTATACTATCAATCGAGAGATTGAGATTCTACTACATTCAAGCATTGAAATTATAACTTTAGTTTAGCAACTACTTCAATTAGTAGCAACATGCAACTTAACATAGTTATTTGTTTTTTAGATATTATTTCATAAATTATAGTGAAATAGAATGATGAAGCTAACACATTGCAAGTGTGAGTCCTTATATTGATAATATCAACAAAATAGAATGTGCCAACTTCCTTCCTCACTTTTGTTAATTGAATGACACCAATATCAATACCATTGTATTATTACACTCAAGATAATCTCTTATTATAGACTATATTCATCATATAATTATAATTACAAAGGTTGATACAATATTATTAGCTCCACAAAAATAATATATCATCTACTCAATAAGTATTCTATAGCTCATCTTCATAAATCATACGTCATATACATAAATAGTTAAAATACATATTTTCTCAAAAATTGTGAAAAGAATCAAATATACATAAAAATATATCAAAAACATTTTCATGATTCCCTAATAGTATCAAAAGACAGAAGGCATTCTATACTTCTGATGACAAAATAAAACAGGGATTTAAATAACAGCTTGGTTCTTGAGATCGGGCATCAGTCAGGTTTGGTTGTGGTTGTGAAGTCAATTACAATTTCTTTTTGGAAAATTATTGAACTTCATGTAGACAAAACTCGCTCTGCTCTCGTCGCTTGCTGAAAATAAAAATGCTTTTACTTGAAATATCATCTTGTTGATCGAACAGCTTGATTGGAAGTCATGAACTCTTAAATCAGATCAGATAAGGAATTCGTGAGTTAGGGATGGTGCTTGAGACATCGCCGACATCAAAACACCACACTTAGCCAACACTTGGATTTGATGGTGAGATTCTTGGGAATGGCATCTGAGAGAATTTACTTCAATGAAATTCTTCAAATGCAGGTCTACCTCGAAAAGCTTCTCCCTGGGGGTAAAAACAATGGGTTCGAATCAATTACTGTATTCACATCGAATTATTAAGGCATGATATTACATTGCAAAACAGTCACTGATCATTGCTGTCTGAGTTACATCTACTGCATATTACATGTGACAGACGGTTGTCAAAATGAAAAGATGAGTTGAAATTAAGTTTCAGCGTGGATAAAGCAATGTTTGAGTTACTTCTGTGCGAGTGATAGATTCAAGACTTCCTGTTCTAATTGTGTTTTCATCAGACTCTGTTGTGCTAATAATGTCACCTGCCCTACTGATGTATTTCGTTGGAGGAAGCAGAGGTTGTGAGGGCCACATTTGCAACGACGGCAACGATATGTTCCGACGTGGTGGTTTCTTTGCTGCTTGCAACAAAGGGTCCAGAATGCTCACTACAACCTGCCAAATCCCACCCTACTGTCAGAATCACAAACAACTTCGGCAACAGCCATGATAAGGATTAATTCGTTTGTAGAACAATTATGGCAATAAATGCTGAGGAGAGAATGAGAAGAGACAAGCTTACTTTCATTGTCGGTCGAACATTTCTCTTAAAAGATGAACACTTTAATCCCAGATCTACTAATGTCTCAAACAGTTCCCGAGGATAAACTCCCTCCAGTTTAGGATCCACAACGCTTTCAATTCCTGCGCGGCCTTGCTCCATCTTTTGCTTCGTCTGAGCACAATTTAGACAAGTACATTTTATTTACCTACTTCCCATAATTCAACCTATTTAAAATGATAAGTCAAATGGTCACTATGATTCATAAGGTTCTCAAGAGCTCACCCATTCGATAAGATTGGATTCCTCGTCCTCAGGACAATGAAATGCAATTGCTTTGCGCCCAGAAATGAGCTCAAGAAGTACCACACCAAAACTGTAGACGTCGCTGGCTGTGGTCAGTTGACGGCGAAGGAAGTATTGAGGATCGAAGTACCTGATACAGAAAGCAGACAGGTATGCAGAACACGCTTGATATGATTAAATTGAACAATGTGTCATTCCACGTTTACTGAAGCAGCAGACACAAGTGTAATTGGAAACATTGAGCTCGGAGAAAGGTGGTGAGCATTACCCAGCTGTGCCAGCCGGTCCGGTAGACACATGAGTCTTAATCTCAGACGACTCCTTGGAGATGCCGAAATCTGCAATTTTGGCTACAAGATTGTCATCAAGAAGGATGTTGCTGGGCTTTACATCTCTGTGAATGACAGGAGGGTCCTGAACAAGAAGAATAAAAGAGAGAGATCAAAACGAGCAGTAAGATTTGGATGCAAAGTTATCGTTCAGAAAACAACTCTCTTGGAATGACATAATGTATCTGAAGAAACAGAAAAATGCGTGAAGGTTCAGTACCGCAAAGGAATGCAAGTAATCCAAGCCTCGGGCGACATCTACTGCAATCTCCAACCGCTTGTACCAATCAAATGTCATGCCTTTAATTCCATGAAGATGTCTGTGAAGATTTCCCAGCTTCATGTATTCGTACACCAGGATCTATTGACGCAAGGTGCAAAGCTGGAGTCAATTGATGGAAGCTCAGAGCAGCGTAGGGAAAATTTCCATTATCTCAGAGTGGTCAAACTGAGGAAACTCCAGGGAGAGATGAACTAATATTACCTGCTGATCTTCGTCATCGCAAAATCCTTCTAGCCTCACCAAGTTTTTATGGTGCAGCCTGCTTAGTAGCAAGACCTAGTACACCAAAAAGGAATTGTTGGTTACAACCTTTCTGCAAGCTTCATGTAAAAAAAGCATTCAGACAAGCTAGTTATGAGAGCAAGTACCTCGTTTCTGAACTGTCCGCGGTCAGATTCTTCTGAGGAATACTTAGCGGGCCCACCCCGTTTGATGGCGAGGGTTCGGCCATCAGGAAACCTCCCCACATATACTTTTCCAAAGCAGCCCTCCCCAATCTCATTAGATCTATCAAATCCACCAGTTGCCTTAACGAGATCCTCAATGGTAAAGTGATGTATGCCAGTTGGGACTTCCCACGTCCGCGTACTAGCAACCTTGTTACTTCTTGCCTTCTCTATCTGGAAGTAGTCAGGTTGAAAACGGGACCGAAGATCTAGTTGTTTAGCTGCAGCTTGGCGCCGAGATCTCCACCAAAGATACAACAGCAAGAGAACCAGGAGAAATACCACCCCTGCTACCGCCCCAAGTGTCGGACCAGACCGAAACTTCTTGCTGGAGGCTTCAGGTACTGCAAATTTCGAAGTTCAATCGGAATTAGTCAAAATTCAAAGCATCGTTAGTAGTGCTTCATATGAAGTGTAGCTTTTTAAAATGCTTCTTGTTAAACCTGCGTAGCAGATGCAAGTTGTGGTATTGATCATGTACTGTCCGCTGGGGCAATCTGGGCATGCTCCTGCGATCACACAGAAAAAATAACTTCACGAATCAAAAGCTTGAGGTGGAATACGGACAAAGTTATACAAGATTCAGATAATTGGGTGTAGAAGCGACTACCGTTTGCGGTACGCAGTCGGAAATTGAAGCAGTTTAAAGGTCTAACGCAGGCCGAATCCAAACTATCTTCATTATCCCAGCAGTTGTAGTCAAGGTTGGCCCTGTGTCAGAAACAATTAATGAAACTGACACTCTTGTAGCTTCAAATACTTGATTGTTGCAGTAAAAAAATTGGACACAGAAGACTTGAAAAGTATGCCATCAAGACTGAACACACAATAGCAGAAGCTTACTTGATGGTAGTACTATTTTGTACTCTTGGTTTGATTCCTCCCAAGTAGTTACACTCCAAAAGTCTGCACATTTCACAAATCAGAAAACCTTTCTGCTGATTCAGTCCTGAAGATAAATTTCCTTCTACAGTACGTAATCAACTAAAGTTTCAAGTCTTGTGTGAGGAGAAACAAGGTAACACACCATCTAAAAACCGGCTAATCTAACAGGAGAGAAATAGACGCAATTCATTTAGAATCTGGCATCTGATGGTACATACAGATTCTTCAAGCCATGAGAGACACTGTGGTTTAATGCCGATTCGTCGATTGAACCGTGGATCTGATTATTGCTCAGTTGCCTGCATCAAATTTAGTCAAATCAGTCTTGCATTCACTACTGCAACCCTAATTCTGATATAAGTTCCTCTTCGAGCACACTAACTGCATCAAAGTAGACACATACTCGAAAGCAGAACATGTGAACTCCCTTCAATGATTCAGCAAATTCAGGTATCGTAGATAGGTGAACAATTCGTCGGAATCATGAAAGCTGGGCTCAGTACAAACTTACAACATAGAGAGCCTTGGTATTTGCAGCAGCCACGAAGGAAAAGCTCCACACAAATAGTTCGCATTGAGCTCTCTGCGCCCCACAAGAAATTATGTTGAGCTTCAGCACAGTGCATACCAATCGCCTGAATTTTCTGATAAGCAGGAATAAGTTTACAGACTAGTGGGTGTAGCGTGATTTTTCGACTCCAAACTAATTGATTTTATCATCTAAAATGAGGTTAGAGGACTCTTACAGAACTTGAATGCTGGACATTTCACGCCACTCTTCCGGAATACGCCCTGTTAGTTTGTTTTTATAAAGAAGGCTTCGCATTCGAACATCAACACATGCAGAAAATTCAGCTTCGGCTTCAACTCCACCATTATTTAGAACGAGCTATTAATCTGCAGAAATGACCAGTAAATTCTATAGATTCCTAACATACTACGAGGGATGTTTGAGATCATAATCTGACAGAGGAGAGAGATTTTGTTTTCCTTACAGTCTCTGCAATTTACTGAGCTTTCCAAGCTCTGGAGGAAGGCCACCGTAAAGCTTGTTCTTGTTCAGATTCAAGTAGGTTAAGTTCTTCAGGTTTCCCAGTTCAGGTGGAATAACACCTGTAAGGAGGTTACCCCAGATAGTCCTGAACGAATTGCACATTTTGTCAATGAAAGAAAAACGGGATTTAACTAGCCACAAGGGAGAGTCGGTTCACAGAATAAAATCATGTACTTATAGGCAGACGTCCACTTACAGTTCTTTCAAATTTGTCATGAGGCCTAGTTCGCTCCCTGGAAGATCTCCAGTAAACGAATTATTGCCTAGGTATCTGTTGAGCAGATATAGCCGAATTTAAGAACCCTTCATGACCCCAATCTGAACAAGTCTCACTGCAATTCAACTGGGCTGAAATGGATAGCATATCTTCAAGAGCCTTTCACTAAGTATGCTTTACTATAACATGAGATGAAAAGTGAATGACTAAAACGCTCAATGCCTCTGACTTACAAATATTGAAGATTGCGCAACTCTATCAGACGCTTTGGAAATTCCCCACCGATAAGAGTGTTGTCAACTCTTCTGCGAATCAAATCAGGCAATGTAAAGAGTCAAGCCCTAAAATACCCTTGGCCTCAAACGCTTAAAAATTACTTGCAGCTCATAATTGCACGGGCAGCGCATTCTCTTCGTAATTGAGCATGTGTTACTCACAGGTCCGTGAGCTTGTTGAGTTGGAATATGGCCGCAGGGAAAGTCGGAGTAGCAACCTCATTCGACGTCAGAACGCTGGATACAAGCAAACATCCAATTCATGAACATAAGCAAAACAGTTTTTAATTTTGTTTTTCTGCCGATGGATTATCTTCTGAAAGATATGGATTCAATCACTGGAAATTATTCAAGACTTGAAGGCAAGAAAAATCTAAGTGAAGGCTTACTCACAGTCTCTCAAGATGAACCAGATTTGAAAGGGGAGCGAGGTCGCCCGTCACATGATTCCACGCGCTACAATTCTTACAAACCTTATTGTTTCCCATGTCCAATTGTACTAGGGTAGTAAGCCTTCCCATTGCGTTTGGAATTGGTCCGTTTAAGCCCATATGTGTCAAGTTCCTATCCAGAAACCTTAAACTTATAAGATGGGGTTCCCTGTATACACATAGGTAGATAGATAGATGGATAGATAGAATGTTACTATTGAATGGTTACAGGTTGTTGAGGGTACAGATTCAAGGTTGCGGTAGATCTTACAGAGTGATGATGTTGCCCTGCGTGTCGCAGTCGACGCCAGCCCAGACTTGTACACAAGGGTCTGTCCCTGCCACCCACGAAGGCAGACTCTTGGTAATCCATCCAGAATTTTTGAGTTCCTGCAATGCAATGCCTGCCCATACTGGAGTCAGCTGTACCGATCATGTCGGAGAGAACTCACGAGATTCAAACTGAAACCTGAGTTGAAGTTGATCGATCACCGTCGTAGACAAGTAGCAGCCCTATAACTCAAATCTTTGGCAGTAAACTCAGCGCTCCTTCAATGTAGCCCTAAGTTCTTTAAAAAGGTGACTCCACTCTCCGCTGTCAAGCTGCTTAATGACCTCAGCATATCTTAATCCACCAGAACAGTAGTCTAACTGAAGTTTGCCTGAAATAATGAGCTCTTCTTCAAGATGAGATATGGCACAAGATTTCGGAGACACACATATAAGTCATTCAAACCCTACTAAGAAGAGAACATGTGGAGAGCACACCTTGTTCTAAAGTCCCGCAACATGATTCGCAAAAGAAGAGACAAGGCACCAAGAAAAGGCACGGCAGCGACGATAAGAACGGCGTTATCCTTCGCTTTAGTAACGGCATATAATCGTCCATCGACACCGGCCACTCATTCGTCGCGCATTCAATCTCCACAACTCCAACCCTTCGGATTGAATCTCGGAATTCTGATTCGAGATTCTTTGTTCCCAGTTGCAAAGATTAACCCCCTAAGTTACATGTTGAGGACCCTAAGCGTGACACCGACAACTTCGTAGGTGATCCCAGCTTAACCTCCCCAACTCTTTCTGCCTCGGTTTATCATAAACCACCATCCAGTCGATATAAATCCATCGTTTCTCAGTGATCCGATTGGGAAATCGTTTCAGTACTGGAGGTTGCAGACACGACATCAGTGTTCTAAATAAGCGATTGTCAAAGTTCACAAAACTCGCACATCTGAAGAGTATTACTTCAAACTAAGTCCTCGCCAACACACACGCGTGCAGTGTTCAAAAGTTCCAGTCGATGTTGTGAAGAGTGTTTTGGTCTAGAATCGAGCTTCTTCACTCCACAATAGTTATCACTCCTCAAGAATGAAACTGTGTGGTTGGAATATCAAAGTGATCAGAATATTGTTAGCTGGGTCAGTTGGGTTTAGCTACCAGAAATCAGAACATAACAGCACCTTCCAGTTTACTCGGTCTACCTTAGACGTTATCATTTCTGGACTCCATCGATTAACCCGATTTAGCTGTTTTCGTTGTGACCTACAACAATAATGTGCCTAAAAATACATATCTCTCTGCACGAGCGGACCAGTTGACTTTTGCGACCGCGGGGGTTCGCTGCACATCTAAATCAGGGCACAAATTCGAAACCAGCCATTGAAAACGATTCGCCACCAGGTTTTCTCTCCTGCTCAAATCCTGCAACACGCAGGGCATCTAAGGTCTCGAAATGAAGTGGTGGAACCATGTATCAGCAAGGTTCATTAGTGCGTAGCTGGAGCTTCAGTTCATTGAAGGAATACTTAGACAAATCGATTTTCGAAGAGGAGAATTGCGTGGTTTTGCTAAGTGGGCCAGAGCGAAATGAAGCTGTGCTAGTACTCTACCGAATCCTGGACACGGTGACTGGAGTTGCAAAGCTTGAGGTTCAACAACTGGCATCCGGAAAAGCATGGGATAGGAGCTCAGCCAAATGGTGACTCCCCTTCCCTCACCATCCTCGCACATTCGGAGTAGTAGTTTGCAGTGGAATCTGTGACTTTTTATTTTCACCATTCTCTTCAAAACAATTGTCTTCTTCAAAAATGTCAATATCTTTAGCATGATCCTCTATATTGATTTCTCTATCTTGTCTTTTAAAAATCTTCACTCGCTTTCTAGCAATAGGTATTTTCAACCTCGTACCATCTAACTCCTTTAATGAATATGTAGCATTATCATGAACCCTTACTACCACATATGGTCCAAACCAACGTTTCAAGAACTTCTGCAAAGTATTATGTTGGTTACGCAGACTACTATCATAAACAAGTATCCAATCACCTTCTTCAATTGCTCTAGGTCTCAATTGATGTTGCTTGTCAAATCGAGTCTTATTTCCTAACCTTGCCTTTTGTAACCTTTTTAATGCTAATTCCACATCTTCGGATCTTTGTTCAAGTTGCCGAATTCTAAAAGCTAACAATTCCTCTCTTATCAACCCATCTTTCCATGGTAGCATACTCCAAGTTGGCACATTTTCTTCAATCGGCATAATTGATTTTTGACCTGTCATAAGTTCCACTGACATATATCCTGTCACCGAACTATGTGTTGTTCGATTAGTCCATAATACATAAAGTAGAAGTCGAGGCCATTCTCTCACTCTTCCATTACAAGCTTTAACTAAGGCTTTTACAATTGGTGGATGCCGACATTCACTCTTTGCATTCCCCTTTGGATTATAAGCAGTAGTCAATGATAATTTGATCCCACATCTCTTAAAAAAATCACAAGCTTCATGTGCATCCAATTCTCCTCAATCTGCAGTGATCTTTCCTACACATCCATAGTGACAAATAACTTCCTCAAGTAGAAACCTGCAAATTCCCTCTATAGACTTTGTTCTTAGTGCCCTACCTTCTATTTGGTTTGATAAATCTTCACGAGCCAAAACTAAATATCTCATTTGCCATAGTCCCGTCGGCATAATAACCAAATCTATAACTCATTTAAAATGAATAGCTAAAGGATATGTCGGATGCAACCCATCTCGATGTCGTATATTTGAATACATCTAACAAGTTACACAAGACTCTACAAACAAAGTTACATCTTGATACATATTCTTCCACCAATATCGTTCTTTCATTTTAGCAAAAGTAGTCCAAATTCCTCTATGTCCCGTCCATAGACTCTCATGAAACTCTTTGAGAAGTCTTTGTTGATCTTCTTTAGTACCTACTACTCGTCTTGGCATTCTAATTCTTTTCTTTGGTCTCTTCTATAAAAACCCTTCTTCAAGCAAAAATTCATAAGCCTTCTTTCTTCTTTGATTAAATTTTTTTATTGACTGATTCTCTTGTTTAGTCAAGGTATTCAAATAAAGACCAATTTCTAGTAATTCTCCTTCATAAAGCTCTTCAAAAAATATCTTGTCTTCTTTATTAAGATTTGATACTGAATAGAATTTTGTTCCAACATCATCAATATCTTCAACCATCTTATCTTCTCTTTCATATACTGCTCGAGATAACATATCTGCTACTGGATTATCTTTTCCCACAACATGCCTAAATTCTGGATTTAGTGATTTGAAATAAGCAATCCAACTTAACATCGCAATATCTGGTGTTGTACAATTGGTAATCATTCCAAGTAAAGGCAAACAATCTGTTTCAATTACCACCATAGCTCCAATCAAATAATCCTTTTTAGCTTTCATAGCTCAAACAACTCCCTATAGTTCCCTTTTCACCTGTGAATATGCACGTTGGCGAGTACTTAAAACTTTAGCTCCAAATCGCACTACAAATCTGTGTCCATTTGAGTCATCATGACCTACAGTCCATCCAATGGCAATCAGATTAGTATCCATAGTAAGAATCAGTGGTCTATTGCTCTTATAATCAATTTTTTTCAACAATGGAGGCGATATCAATAATTTTTTTAATCTTTGTACTGCTTTAACATGCTTTTCTTTCCATTTAAATTGATAGCGTTTGCGTAATAATTCATATAATGGATTCGCTACATGTGCATGATGAGGAATCCAAATATGATAAAATATACATGCACCTAAAAACCTACAAACCTCCGTTAAAGTACTACAATCTTCTTTCATTCTCTCAATTGCATCAACCTTAGTTGAATCTGATTTTCTTCCATAAAATCCACACAGATGCCCAACAATCACAACCTCTTGTACTCCAAATATAGATTTTATACCCAATAATGTAAGATGAACTTTTTCAAGCCGAGTCAATATTTTTTTACAATTTTGTATATGATCAGCAACATACTTGCGATACCCCCTCTTATCTAAAGTTTCATCCTTGTCTTCTTCTTTGCATCCTTTTATAGAAACATCATCTAGAAAAGGCATAGTCTTCTCCGAAATAAAAGCTCTCAATACCTTATTCATCTTGTTCATCATATGCGCAACTGAGTTGGTTGCACCTTGAGGAAGAGTACACATTCTAATTAATCCAAAAGGTGTTCTCATCGTTGCCATATCTCTACTTCCTTCTGCAAGTTGAAATTGATCATAGCCCGAATATAAATCATTCATTGAATAGATTGCCCTTCTTCCAAACGCCTCAGTAAATTCATCTACTATAGGCCTAATTCCTGCATTCCTGATAGTTACTGCATTTAGTGGTTGTATATCTTGAACAAAATGTAATGATCCATTTTTTTTAGGCATTGTAAACCATCAACTAGAATATGGTGCAAAAGAAGGCTCCAAAATCTTCATCTTTATCTTTTCTTTTAATAATTCCACCAAGCTTGGTAAATGTGCCCTTGGTACTAGAATTGGCCTTAGATTCCAAGGTACATGTGCTACAGTAAAAATAACCATAGGTGTTACAATATTTGGATCCACACATTCAATTTCATAAGATTCAAAGGCAAATGATCTACCTTGTTTTGCTAACATCTCTTTGGAGCAAGTAATTTCTTCTGGCAATAAAGAACTATCAGAACCAATCTTTAATTCTTCAAAATTCTCTTTAGTAAACTTGTGACCAATATTCTTTGGATCTCTCAAGTTCCTTTCTCTTGATGCTTCTCCCATTTGTTCTTTAGAATCTTTTGGCAAAGGTCTTGCAACTGGTTTAACTTTCTTATCTACTGTCTTATATTTTGTCTCAACTATAATCTCAGGTGCTTGAAAAGATTCAATCATATCATAAACTTCTCTTAAATGAATTGATATAACTTTATCATCATTACCAAATCCAATAGACACAATCAATTCCAAAGGATCTTTGAGTCCATTTTCTTCATAAATACCAGTAATCTTTTCATTATCTTCTAATATTCTTAACCTATATAATTCTCTTTCAATAGTACTTAATTCCTTTCTTTCCTTTCTTTTTAAGTCATCAATCTTCTTATACATAATACTTCCATTTTCAAAAATGTTAATAAATCTTCCATTAAAGGTACCTACATCTTACGAGAGTACCTCTCTTTCTATACTTCTATAATCTCGCTTTATAGTGGTACCTCCAAAAAATCCTTGAATTCTTCAACAACCCTTGACAATGGATTTTTTCTCAATTTGTCTCCATTCCACTCATGATTTGGAGGCACAGTCAAAAACTATATTGCCCTCCTCCCATCCTCACTACAAATTTGTGCATAAGCTGAACCATCATCAAGTACCTTTGTTTCCATCCGAGTTGTAATAATATATGGTTGTCCTAAAATAAGAGGATAAGATGTTGCATCTTGAACAAAATTTTTTTGTTCCATTGTAACATCACCAATCCAAATTTTCACATCCGAGCAAGTACCATATAACTCCTCATGTGTATTATTGGCTGTCCGTATTGCCCACCCATGCTCCATGTCAATTGGCCACCTTTGCTTCATATAAAAATCTTTAGACATAAGGTTTATCTCTGAACCATAGTCAATCAAAGCAACAACCGGTTCATCTTTATCTCCAATCTTCACTAATGCCTCTGTAGTTGCTCTAGCCTAATACTTTCAAGTATAATGACTTGAAATCTTTCTATCTTTATTACCTTGATCATCAAAACGTACCCTTTGATTATAACTCCTCCCTTCACTTGTTGATTGTTTGTAACAATTATCGAATACATCTTCTTCACCTTCATATATGTATGCATTAATAGCATGATTTAATCCTGCTTCTCCCATTAATTGCCTCTTTCATTTAATACTGTCAATAATGACATCATGGAATTCTTTCTTAGCAATTCCTAAAATTTCTTTCAATGTAAATTCAACCTTAGTATTGAGCACTCGTTCTTCAAGCACTCCCTTTAAATCTGTTGCCGCTTCAATATCAGAGAGTAGTTTATAAGTTGTCAATTTACCTTTATCTTTCATCTCCTTTGCTTTTTCTTCCAATATTGTTGAAGTATCTTTTATAGGCAATTCTTATGAAGCCGATGCATGAGCCTTATTTCCTCGACTTTGCCTTTTAGAAGAATTTCTTTCTCTTGAATCATCAAAATTTCCTCTCCTCTTTTCTTTCATTAAAGCTTCATGTTGGCTTTTAGCAATATATGCATGTACTGACAAAGCTTCTATAAGATCCTCCCAACCTGTAGCACCACGAATTGTTGCAAAAATTCTCAATAAAGCTTCTTGTGGCATCTTCTCTTTTTACATTGTAGAAATAACAAAAGACCAAAGTCCATTTGGTTGAATATTTCCAACAAAATTTTGTCTACGATTATTATCCACCCAAGTTCCATAACTTGCAGCTTCTATTGCTGCAATTCCATGTGTTGCCAAATAATCTTTAACTAATGCTTTCATGCCTCCTTTACTAAAGTTGGTTTAGAAAAGATCACCAATATCTTTCAATGCAACCTTTCCATCTTTCCAATAA